CGAACGAGAAACGCCCTCGGCTGGTCCACCTCTGCGATTGCAACTGATTAGCTTTCGTACTGTGGACTGGTAGCTCCGCGGGGATACGCCCACCGAAGGGAGGTGACTACTCCCATAAGGTGTAGGTAAGTCGTATCTCGCGTAGGCCCTATCCTGTCGTAGGGGCTCGCGAGAGGTATGGCTGGCGCACCCGGCCGGAGCGGCTTGTGGAAGCTCCATGTATATTGCAACGAAGGGTTCTAAAAACCAACTCCTGCGTGACGCGACCGGGGGGGTCCCGCGCTGCCCCCGTGCGGTGCCGGACCGATGCGCCCGACAACGTCCTCGTCAACGCGCTCGTGATAGATGTGCGTTCCTATTCCGTGTTGTTCGGACTACCCTGGGCGATGGCGGTGGGCGCACGACTGCATTTCGATTCGAAACAACTGGTGCTCACTCAAACTGGAGGAAAGCCTCAAACTGTTCCCTTGCGAATTTCCACCCGAACGATAAAACGAACCCCTGATTCAGCCCAAATAGGGATGATTCGATACATTAATCCCGAGGAGTGTTCTTCCTCCGACATCGATAGTGGAATCGGGGAACAGGAATACGAAGAAGAGCTACCTAACAAAGATGAATGGAAGCATCTGGTCGAACTTTTCGAACATGAAATTCCCGAAGAATTTCAAGTGTGCCCCAACACTGCCCAAAGCTTCTACGTGAATTCAGGAGACAGCACGCTTGCGCCTCCAATAACCGAAGTTAGTCCCGCAATCCTGCTCGGGAAACCCATATTACAAGTATCTGACTTGGCCGATGATTTGGAACCGCCTCGCACCTTGTACGAAGGAGCTCTCTCCTTACGAGCGCGTTATCAGCAAACGAAACAGTATTTGGATGTTTCTGTTTTTCCGCCCAGATCGTTACTAACGACAGGAGTCACCATCGCCTTGATTAAACAGGAGGCGGAAGCATCGGTAAGTGATGTACCTGATCTGATGCAAGAAATGACGGATCTAACGAGGCTAACTGTGGAACCGACCTCGGTTGGTTCAGAGACTGATGCTGAAACTAAAGAAACGGAGATGATCAGCCCCGCCGAGTCCCAGATGATAGCAACTGTCTTTTTTGTTCGCACTAGTTGTTCCACTTTCTCTAGTGTCCATGATCGGCGGGAACGGGCGGTTGATAGGGTCGATATGCCCCTTAAGATTTCCGGGGAATCAACAATCACCTTACCGGGTCACGTCCCCGCGGAACTTCGGAAATCGTTAATCTGTGTGTTAAATGGTTACACAAAAGTATTGAGCATACACGATAATGACATCGGCTTAACTAATGTGATCGAGCATGCCATTCTCACGGGAGACCATCCACCCATTAGCTGCGCTCCTTACCGATACTCGCCAGCTCAAAGAGCGGCCACTTTTCAGCGGATCAAAGAATTCGAAGCTAATGGATGGATCGAACCCGCAATAGTTCCCTGGTCTTTTCCCGTAATAATCATGCCCAAAAAGGCCGGAGGGATTCGCATTTGCATTGATTATCAAAGGTTGAATGATATCACGATCAAAGATGTGTACCCCCTCCCCCGGATTGATCAGTTGTTGGATGCGATTGAGAGTGCTCGATTTTTCAGCAAATTTGATGTTCGTCATGGGTTCCATCATCTTCTTGTTCGAAAAGAAGATCGTTCGAAAACAACGTTTGTGCTTTTCGAGGGTACGTGGCAGTGGATTCGATGTCCGATGGGTATCTGCAACGCCCCCGCGACCTTTCAGCAAGCCATGAACATGGCTTTTCAGAATTTTATGCGGAAGACTCATTTGGCGCAGAGCATCATCAACTACTGCGTAATTGTGTACATGGATGACATCTTGGTGTACTCGAGTTCCTACGAGGGACACGTGCAACACATCGAATGGGCACTCCACGCGTTACGAGATGCGGGTTTCAAAGTGACGCTTGAAAAGTGTCAGTTTTTTCTTACCACCATTTCCTTCTTGGGACACGTGGTGACAGACAAGGGACTCCAACCGGAGCCGCAGAAGGTGGCAACTGTCAGGGATGCGCCGGTGCCTACAACTATCACGCAAGTTCGCATTTTTTTGGGCCTGGCCTCGTACTACCGAATATTTATCAAAGGCTTCGCGGCGATTGCGGGACCCCTCATGACCCGTTGATCTGGACGCCAGAGTGTGATCAAGTGTTTTCGAAACTCAAGGCCACTCTCATTTCGGCTCCAGTCCTTATAAGACCGGATCCCGAAAAGCCTTTTGTTCTCATCACTGACTGGCAGCCAGAGGCAATTCGGGCGATGCTTGCCCAGGTGGGACCAATCGGACTCGAGAGTGTGGTGGAGTATGCGTCCAAATTGGTGCCCGCCTGCAAGCGCAACTACGCCGCTCCAACGGGAGAATGCTACGCGGCTCTCTGGGGAATCAGTCACTTTCGTGCTTACCTGTACGGGCGAAAGTTCACCCTGGTAACTGATCATGAGCCTCTGTTGGCTCTGAAGAAATCGAAGGATTACTCGGGCAGGATCGCGCGATGGGCAACGGTGTTGCAAAGCATGGACTTTGACATTCGTCATCGGAAGCACGAGAGACACGGGAATGCGGACGGACTGACACGACTGCACCGACCTGAGAAAGTTCCGAAGAGTGAGGAGGTGATTCCGTGGAACGAACCCGAACAGGAGATCGGACGGTACGGCCAAGTAGAGATCTTATCAAAGCAGTAAGCGACACGAGGACTAATTTGTCTGTTTTACCCTCTCTGCAATACAGTCCCATCTCTTCCTCCTCTGTCATTATGACTACCCCACCTGTTTCCATTGCGCCGTCATCTCCTACTAATTCTGCCCCTCTCACGTCCTCGGCTTTCTTTGCCACCCTCCCCGATAAATTCTGTTATTTTTGTACGTGCATTGCACGAGTTTATGGGGTCGACTGTCATCCTTTCGAAACTGGGTTTGTCGACTGGGTAGAATGTGCCACGTGTGTCAATCGTGCCCACGGGGTCTGCGTTCGATATCGGACGAGTGGTAAGGAATGGAGGTGCCCCCTGTGTAGAACGAACAAACTCCCCACGGAGGTTCGATTCGAGGCCGCCCGTACGGACGGCCCTGAATATGACGAAAAATACCGACGAGCGGAGGTTTGGACGGATAAAATTTTATTGGCGAAATTAGCTAGATTATCATTGGGTCACCTCACCAAACACGACAGACGTAGGGCGACCGACAGATCTCGGGACTATCAATGGATCAACGATCATTTGGAAAAGTGTAAAACTGACGGATCGGGTTCGTGGTTGACGGTTCCCCATCCATTCCAGAGATATGATTGGATCCGATCTGCTCACGAGGAGCAGGCCGCTCATTTCGCGATACGTGTCACGGAGGCAACTGTAGACCAGAACCGATGGTTCTGGTCCAATATACGAGATGATGTCAAATACATTGTCGCCAACTGTCTGGTCTGTGCCGCTGATCGCGCCCCAATACGGGGACCAAACACGATAGTACCAACGGAAGTAGATTGTCCTTTCTAACGAGTCAGTATGGACACGACAGATATCGACGTGCCACCTAGCCCAAACTGCTGTGAATATTCTATCCTGTTAGTATTAATAGACAATTTTTCCAAGTACATCGAAGTCTATCCCTGTAAGACCCAAAAAGCCGCAGAAATAGCCACGTACATCGAACGGTTCCTCTATACCCATCTAGATACGGAAGAAATTCTAACCGGCAATGGGTCTGAATTCAAGGGTGAGGTAGAAGAACAGCTTGCGCGAAGGGGCGTCATGCTCCGACATACGGCACCCCACGTGTCCCAGTCGAACGGGCTGGCCGAAAATGCCAACCGTATGATTAAAACCGCCCTTCACAAAAACTTTGCAGCACATGACACGCGTCCGTGACCCGAGATTGTATATCAGATCGTCGGGATCCACCGGGCCACTCCTCACGAGTCCACGGGGTTTACCCTTTTTCAGCTTCGAACTAATAGCTTCCCCTGTGTCGACTACCGGGGTAACTCGGAAATTGCCGAAGTAGGGGGTAGAGACACACGTACAACCCTCAAGGCCAAAGCCAAAAGGTACACCGAATTAATGGAACGAGCCGTCCCGAAGTTGGCCCGAAAAAGGCAAAGGATGACCGAACTGGCCCACGGTAAATAGGTCCGTAGCTACGAGGCTCGGAATGGAAATCCTGGGCCCCAACATCAATATAAATTAGGGGACCTAGTGCAGGTACGTAAATGTGCACGCGACCGGAAACTCACTCCCAAGTTTTCTGGCTGTTTTCCCGTTGTCGAGCTCGGACCGAACGACGCCAACACCGTGTGCATCGCACCTTAGGCTAGTGCCAGCCATAGCTCTGTCCCCATCGTCCCGCATACCTCCTACCTCCGTCTTCTTCCTCCTTCTGATCTTCCTCCCTCTTCTTCATCGGAAATCAAGGAGAACGACGACGATCTAACTCTCTCTCCGCTTTCTCCCTCTTGTCCTTCGTCCTCCTCTCCAACCTCGCCAAGAGCTTCATCACGAAGCGGGCTCTTGACGAACAGCTGTTGCAGCCACGTGGCCACATCTCGGAGATTCGGCAAGTTTGTCACCCTCGGCTCAATACGGATCTTCGCCGTTTGGCGCAATGTTTCTGCGACGGGGGTGTGTGTGCCGCCACCGCGTTTCGAATCGAAGGGAGTCCTCACGCAGTAGTATTTGCGGATGTAATCGCAGTTCATCGGCGAGCGGCTCCCAGAACGAGCCACGTCACCACGGTTGCGGCGTTCAGCGGCGACATCAGCTCGGTCAATCCGCAGAGGCATACCGCGATCTTGACTTCGCTGCGCGAGTGGACGGAGCAGGTGTCCGACATGTGGCAGCACGTCCTCGCTCGACCTGGACACAATCTCATTCCGACCCTTGCACCGGATCTTGGCGACATCCGTCGTTCTCCGCGCGAGCGGCCCGTTGCAATCCCCACCCTCGTCCCCTTCCCACGTCCCCAATGAACCACGCCGATCCTCTCGCTCCTCTTTCTATCTTCGGCCTCCCCTCTCATTTCCCCACCTTCTGGCAGTCTGATCTTCATCCTTCTCTTTCCTTCTCGTTCGAGCCTCTTTCAGTCCCTCTTATCAATCCTGGGTATTGGCGGCTGTCGCGTGAAACTTTTAACGACTCGAAGTTGTCCTTCTGCTTGGCCCGAGTACGGGTAACGTCGACGCGGACCAGCGAGCATCCTGCGTGGATCGAGAGTGTGGAACTGCTGATCATACAGGCTTGGAGGACTAACGTGGAAGGCGATCTTCTTGGCTTTCTCTTTGGATCGGTACAGCCGGGGCGCCGCCAGTTGATTGCGCAGGAGCTCATCGCGCCCATCGTGCAATTGGCGGACGATCTCTTGCCCGACATCTATTCGCAGAGTGACGATAGTCAAGCTCCGCACGTTCTCGAGCGGTCCTTGGATCCGTACCTTCAGTGGACTATGTGCTTGGAGGAGCCCAGGGACGAAGATACGCTGCCGTCGCGGCAAGAGTATGTGAAGTCGTACGATATCATCCCTCACGCCTTTTATCCGAGGGCGGAGGAAGTGGTGATCGACGACGACGACGAAGAGGACGAAGACGAGGAAACATCGGAGGAGGGAAGCTATAGCGAATATAGCGAGAGAGAGTTGAGTGAAGAAGAAGAGGAGGAAGCGACGCGCACAGGAACGGAGGCGGAAGATCCGGAAGCGGCGCGAAAGGGCGAAGAAATTGTCACCGGGAAGTGCCAGCTGGAGTTCGCCAGCGGAGCCAGCCTGCGCATCAGTAACGATCCGACCAGAGATCCGAAGCCGCCAAAGCCCGAAGATGGCGACCCTGCAGCCGCCACCTCAAGTACCGCGCGACGGAGACGGAGCCGATCCCCCTCGTCCTCCAGCCCCACCCGTCCCCCAGTTCGCCCACGTACCGATGCGGGCGATAGGCCTTCGTCCTCGGACGCTATCCCGCCGACCCCTTGATTTTTTCACCCTCGAACAGATCCGCACCCCCGTCACCTTCCCCCTCCATCCCTTCCTCCCCCATCTCTTCCGCGACTTCTACTCTACCCGCCTACTGGCTACCGTTTACCCCCACGCATCCCTTCAGCCCGCTGCTCCCACGTTCTGC